GTCAGACATGGTACCGCCCCCTTCTCCGGTCACAGGCTGACTTCGGGGTCTGCGCCCTTCGCTGTTGCTAGTCACGTGGCTCACGGCGCACTCTGACGTCACGCCCTGCCTGACGGAGGAAAGGAGGAAGTGTCCCAAGATGGCGTCGTGCACTGAGGCCGGGGAGTTGGCGTTGTAGGCTGGATTAAGCGGCGTGTGCGGAGTGGCTGAGCTGTGGGTAAGTGCGGGTCTGGGAGTGCTGGGTGTGTGTGAGGTGCTAACAACAGGCGCGTAGGGCAAAAAGCTGATGAGAATGACTGAGTCCCGAGGAGGGGGAACGCTGACTCTGTCCCGGGGAGGGGGAGCGCTGCCTCTGGGACGCTGGAGCTGGCTCTGCCCCGAGCGGTGGCGGGACGCTGGAGCTGGCTCTGCCCCGAGCGGTGGCGGGACGCTGGAGCTGGCTCTGCCCCGAGCGGTGGCGGGACGCTGGAGCTGGCTCTGCCCCGAGCGGTGGCGGGACGCTGGAGCTGGCTCTGCCCCGAGCGGTGGCGGGACGCTGGAGCTGGCTCTGTCCCGAGCAGTGGCTGGCTCCAACACTTCATGATATTTGCTGTAATAAGCACTTAAAATTCCCCTGAGCCCAGACTATGAACCTGAAACTTTTTACATAGGTAGTAAAAAGAGCTTTATAGACACTCTGACCTCTCTGGCCGCTTTTAGCATAAAGTTAATATTTCTCAAAGATCACAACGAAGACTCTAAAGTCCAGTTACGGAGCCCGCTCATGCCATGCCATGCTATGTTACATGCGTTGGTGCGCTGCCATCCATTGTGAACCTGCGCAAATCTGAACACGGAAGCTACAAGGACCTCCCACCCGATCAGCCCCGGGTCTGGGTGCTCCCCACCCCTTAGCTGACCATAAAGGTGCGGGATGCTTATGCTGACATCATTGACCTTATACGGCCACGTTAGGTGGGTGTCATGTAGCCACATAAGGTCAATGATGTCATAGCACCCCGCCCCTCTGCTTACATCAAAGTGCGGGCAGGGGAATTCTCCACCTGCAGCTGATTCAGTGGCCTGGATGGAGCTTGTTCTGTTTTCGGGATGAGCTCTTTCCAGGTTTGGGCTAGGTTGGGTCACGTTGGATTTGGCCCTTAACCCTTTCTCAGCCACCGGCGTGAAGCTGGCTGCAGGGACCTGTATACTCCCGGCTTGTTTACATTCGCTCAGGACACTGTTGGCTGGTTAATGACAGTGATCTCTTCCACATGTACTTCCACGTGCCCCACACCTGACCCACCCCCACCATGTATCCCGGGATGACCCGTCTAGGTTCCCGGGGACATTCATGGCAGGTGTCAGCGGCTAGAGCAAAGGATCGTTTGTGCCCCTGGGTAGAATGAAACCGGAAGCAGAGAGCTTTGTATCACTTCTAGTTTCAGCGATGTCATAGTTCTGCCCGCTGTGGCCGTGGATGAAGCTAATTGAGCACGACCTGTACTCCTTTTAGCTTCAATAGAGTGCTGAGGTGACTAATAGACCCCTGATGTCTCCTGAAAGTATGATATGGGGGGTGGGGCTTGTCAGACCCCTGTCGATGGCAATAAAGTTTAGTTTAAAAAAAATTAAACTTTAAAAAAATAGCCACTACCCAAATTTTTTTAGAGGTTAACTCCGGGGGAAAACTTAAGTGCTCGTTTTGGTCTAGGTGCAAAAATAGTTATACTTATTTGAACCTTGCAGCCTGCTGGCTGCCAGACCGGTCCCTGCAGCCTGTCTCCTCCTCTGCTGCAGCAATGGTATGTCACCCCGCATCCTCGCGTCTTATACACTGTGTATAGAACGTGATGATTCAGGGACCTTAGACTGCTGCGGTAAAGGGGGAGAGAGGTACCAAGGATTGGTTGAGGAGCAGGCCAGCTCAGAGGTTTCGGGGGAGTACAGGTTTTTTTTGTTTCTTAGACCAAAACAATGTAAGCCTTGTAGTGCCGAGCAAGCCCCACTGCAAGGGTTAAGAAACTGTTGTGGCCGGAGTTCTTCTTTAAGGGCTTGTTCACTCCATATACAGTGCATTCCGGCGCGGTTAGCTGCTGGAACGCACTGTATTGCATCCTGGCTGGCTTCCCCTACGGGGGGGGGGTGGCGTTGACTTCAATGGCACCGCAGCCACGCCCGCAGTCCCAGTCGCCCGCACCCGAACGTGTGGCACATTAATGCCTGCATTCCGGACCAGTGCGATCTGAAAAAATGTGCATGCGTTCTTTTTTTAGATCGCACTGGACTGCAATGCAGGCATTGATGTGCAGGCTGGGGGGCGTGGCTGCGTTGCCATTGACTTCAATGCACCCTCTCACCCCTGAACGCAGGAAGCCGGCAGGGATGAGATAGTGTGTTCCAGCAGCCAACCACGCTGGGACACACTGTATATGATGTGAACGAGTCCTCAAGCCCTGCACCCCAACATGCACGCACATACAAATGTAACTTTGTGTGTGTCAGTTTCGCCTTCATGCAAACAACGAGCTGCATCTGGCTGCGCACATCAGACTGGGAACCGTAACTCTGTGTCCATCCTTCACCATTAAATATGAACTGATGACGTGCAAAGGCACTTAAAGCGCCACCAATGGTCAATTTTGGGTACTGCAGTTCCTCACACTTTCACGGGCGCGCGGTTGTTGAGGCGTGACATGTTTGGTATCTATGCACTTGATACAACCTCACCTTTTTATATCGGGTGTTATATTTGTGTGCACCAAAATTACCTTTTAACATAGTCGATAAACTTTTGTCCATAATCAGTTTCTCTAATGTCATGTGACATTAAAAAAATTACGTTTCCCACCATTTTATTCTGCGTTCAGCAAATATGCATTTTTTGGGGAGCTTTTAAAGGAGAACTATGAGGTGATTGCTTTTCACTCACCTCATAGTTCTAGCCGACCTGTGACAATGAGACTGTCACAGGTCGGCTCAGTAGATCGGTAGGTGTGCGAACACATACCGGCGTTCGCTCACTTCTCGATCCTGTCACGGCTCTCTGCCGTGAAGGGGGAGGGGCTGGATTCCCCCCTCCCCGCTCTGATCCGCCAGCGCTGACTGGCGGAACGGCCGGGGGAGGGGGCGGGTACAGCTGGCTCTGCCTCTAGATAGGCAGAGCCAGCTGTCACTCACGCAGCTGGGCGGATCTCGACATCGATGTCGGGATCCGCTCCGGCTGCGGCGTCTCAGTATACCGCTAGCTGTAGCTCCCTATATACTGAGCTTAGGGTAACGGGAGGACGCTAGTTTGTGTCCTCCCGTTACCCTAAGGAGAACTATGGGGAAAAGCCCTGACCCCCATAGTTCTCCTTTTTAAGTTATCTTCAGGCCTCAAATGTACAATTTTAATGCGTGCCAGTAATGAAAATAAACCCTTGGCAGTGAAAGGGTTAAAGTAAATCTTCCCTATGGAGAGTGCCATTGAGGTTTATGAAAAATTACTAGTTTTCTGTCTGCTGTAGCTTCGGCTTTACTGCATCGGACTTACTGTGTTAAATATTTAGAACAAAATCATTAATAATTCATGACGCTGAATGATTCTTCTTCACGCTGCGTGTCCTTTTGGTAAGTGTGTTCTTATGAATTGAGGTTACTTTACTTTTGCACAGAGGCTGCATCCGGCCCTACAAGTGAAAGTCAGGTGATGCCCCTGTGAGGTCATGTGATATGTAATCTTTTGCCCGGCAGCTCTTTGGTCTGTGGCGTCTATCGGGTGCAATGATTGCACAGCAGCAGCGTGATTATGCAGCTGAGGCCTTGTGACTGCTGCTGCGTCCTCCTGTTATTCATAGACAGTGTTTTCGGTTGGTGGATTTGAAGTGGACCTTCACCCTCCCCACCCCCTCTACTGTCATAATTGGATCTTTAAGAAGAACTGCAGGAAGTTAAAAAAAATCAACTTACCTTTGCAGCGGGGCTGCCCCTGGACTGCGAGGGTTAAGTGCTCATTTTTTCATGTGACCCTCAGTACTCACCTGATCCTCGGTCCCTCTGGGCTGCTAGATTGGTCCCCCCCCGGACCCCAATGCTCTTAGGACTGTTGATGTCATCACGTTCTTATGCAGCTCCATTGACTTGCATTAGATGGCAGGAAGCTGAGGACATAACCCAGGGGGAAAGGTGAGTGCTGACCGCTGCACGACCGAGGATCAGGTGAGTATATCTGCCTTATTTAAGCCCCCCCAGACAAAACAAACATTTACTCCTAGCAGTGCAGGGTAACCCCACTGCCAGGGTAAGGTTTTTTTTTTTCTAATTTATTCCCAGAATTCCTCTTTAGAGAACTCCAGGGAGAGACAGAATTAACCATTGCAGTGGGGCCACCCCCCACACTGGAAGGGTTAAGTGCTTGTTATGTTTAGGTAGCTAAAATAACAGATATACTTACCTGAACTTCGATCCCACCCAGCTGCTAGACTGGTCCCTGCAGCCTCTTCCAGTGGTGGAATGTCCCTCTGCATCCTCACATTCAATATACTGGACGTGACAACTCACCTTAGACCTCCAGGGCAGAGAGCGAGAGAGGCCTACGGAAACAGGTCTAGCAGCCAGGTAGAATCAAAGTTCAGGTGAGTCTGGCTGCTAGACTGGTCATTGCAGCTCTTTCTCTACTCCAGTGGTGGAAATGTCCCTCGGCATCCTGACGTTCAATACACTGTACTGGACGTGACAACTCACTGGACCTTAGACCTCCAGAGCGGAAAGGGTGAGAGGTCTACGGAAACGGGTCTAGCAGCCAGGTAGAATCAAGGTTCAGGTGGGTCTGACTGCTAGACTGGTCCTTGCAGCTTCTCTCCCCTTCTCCACTCCACTGGTGGGAATGTCCCTCGGCATCCTCCCATTCAATACACTGTATTGGATGTGATGACTCGCTGGATATTAAAACGCTGGAGGGGAAGGGGAGAGAGGATGTGGGACCAGTCTAGCAGCCAGGCAGGATCGAGGTTCAAGAGAGTCTGGCTGCTAGACCGGTCCCTCTGCAGCTTCTCCCCCTTCTCCACTCCACTGGTGGAATGTTCTTCAGCACCCTCACATTCAATACACTCTACTGGGTGTGACGACTCACTGGATCTTAGACCGCGAGAGGGGAGAGAGGCTGCAGGGGCAGATCCAGCAGCCAGGCTGGTTTGATGGTGCTTCCTGCACAGACCCCCGGAGGAGAGTATAAAACAACTTCCTATGTTTATAGAC